ATTTTCATCATCCTACGTCAGTGCTTATGTGGAGACTGAACCTCTTCCCCAAATTCTTAAACCTAACCCTGGACCTAGCCTTAATGCTTACCCTAACCCTAACCTACAATCTCGTCAACAATTATATACCCTAATCTTATTTACATCTCAGCGACCTTGACGAAAATTGAGCTGGCCTTAATAAATAGATTTACCCTGGTCCGTACAGACAATTGGGTCAAAACTTCAGACATCTTCTCATCTTATCCTTCAAATAGTCCTTATACAAAACTTTCATCTTTTATTTTTTTCTATTTTAATGTATTTTGCTGAACTTCTCCAGAAAATAAAACATTGAACTTTACTCAAATATCATCTAAACGTAACAATTTCCCCAAGTAATCAATGTTTACAGCAAGAAGATTGAATAGTCACGCTATCATTATTTTTTTTTTTCGTGCTTTATTTTGCTATTGGCATGAGTGGCGTTGAAACTGATTTGATCGAACATGTGCTCAGTTTGCGGTTTAATCTTCGTTCAAATTCTGAGATGCCGGCGTTTGTATTTGAAAGACTCGATCAAAAGGAATACAAATGCTGATTTCAGACAGGTGACAAGTGATGATAGGCCCAGGGTTCAAAGCATTCTCATATTTAAGTTGGAATTTCGATATAACAGTAGGCCGTAGTGCCACTGTCCGGCCAAAATTTCCCTCGTGGCACACTGTATGGCGCGTGTCTGTCTTCATTAGCCCAGTCGGATTAGAACATTTCTATTTCCACTTCACCTTGATATAAAAACATTTCTGGTAAGGCGTGTTAGCTAACTGATCGACAGGCTGTGATTGGTCGAATCCAAATAAACCTACCAGTCAAAACGCATGTATAATCAATAAATTCGCTTGAGCGTGGGGGTCTTTAGCAGCGGGAGGAAACGGGGGACGCGGAGAAAACCCACGAATTTGGACAGGCGACCCTACTCCTTGTCACGTACAACCGGGGAATGGAAACCCCGCCAGTTGACTTAATGACAGACCTTATGAAACCCCGCGCACTTGCTAACCATTTTGCCATCCAACCCCCTAATTACAAACCAACACAAAACTGTAATTATATATTTTTATTATAACATACTGTATATATCTAGTTTTGATTTTATACAAGGATATAATATTCCATTAATCACCACTGTCATGTGATAACAGATAATAATGACTGTGTATATTAATATGTTTTAGGTAATTAGATTTTCAGTAGGAAATGTAATATTTCAATAAAAAGCTATTTATAAAGTCATACAATGGAACTGGTTTGGTAATCTAATGATCGCCTCAAGTTATTATTCTGTTATATATAGACAAGGATCATATATATTTAATTACATTTATTTTTTGTATTGGTTGTTTTAAAGTACATACACGGAGAGCCTGACAAAGAACAGTGTATAGTCGTTCGGATGAGACAAAAAACCGTACGTTGGCGCGAACGTAAAAGAACACTGAACCGTTGGAATTCGATATAAGACAAGGCCATACTGCCACTATCCGGGCAAACTTCTCATCATAACACACTGCGTGGCGTACATCCGTATTCTCTAGTCCAGCCGGCGCAGAAAAGTTGAACGTTAAACCCCATTTTATTTCTATAATTAAAGCCTAGACTTGTCTAAATATGGCCGATAAATGTTTGTGAAATGGGGTTTAACGGCTTACGTCTGTGGGCTAATGAAGACGGGCATACGCTATGTTGTAGGGGTAATTTTGGCCGGACAGCGGCGTGTCTGCCTACTCTTCGCCACAACGACTACACGTACACTAGTGGGCCTCAGTTGTTTTCGCCATCAGAAAAAATTGAACGCTAGCAAAGGATTCTTATATACACTAAATTAGAATTGAATCAAAAATAATATGGTCGATTTCTTTTCAGTTTATACGTGGTGATTTGGGGTTTTTTTTTCTTGGTTGTCAATCAGTTTTCGTTTTTCGTCTATTGATAAAACGATTTCTCTTTTTGGGGGTGCTCGACTGTCAGTCCGGAACGTCCCGAATTGAGAGAATTACAATCAAGTGATACGGAATTCATCCCTGACACAGTTTTGCCATTCCCGACAGCTGAGATGATGTGAATAGAATCGTGACGTATTTTAAGTAAGAAATATGTTTCCGTTGTCATGATTGGTTGAGATATTTTTTATGCAGTCGGAACATGCTTTGTACTCCGAAATTTTTCTTTTCACTCGATTGACACTGTTTTTAGAATTGAGAGAATTTAATTCTGGATGGTTCAATCGAGTATCACCTTTCAAAATGAAATGAAATGGGGTTTAACGTCCTACTGTTCTGCTCCTCTACTGGGCTAATGAAGACGGGTATACGCCATACTGTGTGCTATGAGGGTAATTTTGCCCGGGCAGCGGCACTATCGCCTACTCTTATATCGAATTCCAACTGCCAAAGGGATCTTTTACGTGCATTCCAATGTATACATCCGAAGGACTAGACAGCGGTCCTTGTCAGGCCCTCCGTTCTGCACCACTGACAAGGGGAAACCACGTCGGAAAATCCAGATGAACTTTCTCGGCCAATGCAGGGATCGAACACCCGACCTCCAGGCTAGCGAGCCAGCAGCGTCTTAACCACCTAGCCACCGTGGCTCCCTATCACCTTTCAATAAATCGACACAGTAAACCAAACATTTAACTAAGCTTGTTTTATAAAACAATACGCCCACTTCCTCTATTTCTATCGAAACACAACTTGCTAATAGAGAGAGAGAGAGAGAGAGAGAGGGACTAGGTCATTTCGGGACTAACATATGGTTTAATTTTATTTCAATAATTGACTTTCGCGTAGGGGTCTTTAGCAGAGGTAGGAAACTGGAGGACCCGAAGAAAACCCACTAGGTTGGACAGGCGACCCTACTCCCTGTCACGTACAACCGGGGATTCAAAACCACACCAGTTGACTCAATGACAGGCCTTATGATACAGCTTGCTAATCGAAATAACATACCATCAATGTAATTCAATCTTTATATCGACCGGCTTCTTTAACTGTACATCAACATTTAATTAAATTAGACTACTAAACTAATTATCCGAATGATCAACACGTTCATTTTAATAAGGAAACCAAAAAAAAGGGCGAAAATAGGAAACTAAATTAGAAAAAGTGATGACTTATGAAGCCTATCCGGTATTATATAATTTCCGGTCATTGATCTGCCTTATTATATGGTTATATAAAAATAAAATTACTTCCCTACCTAAGTTATTTACAGATGCCGAACTTCGTACATAAGTATTACCAAATGTTGCTTACAAGTGCCGAACTCCGTACATAAGTACAATTCATGATTATTTACAGATGCCGAACTCGTATATAAGTACAATTAATGGTTATTATATTATCAATAGATGCCGAACTTTCCACTGTCATGCATTGCTTAAATGCTTATACTCTCTTCACATATACACCACGACCTCACTACAGCTACAAAAATCAGACAGATCGTGGCTGAAAGCAACATGGACGTGGCCAGGTCTTTGTCAGCGTAGTAAAAGCGAGATGGTAATGCCCCCGTCAGACCGGGGTGGCGTTCTTACTGTGCTGCAGCGACCGTACGGCGACCAGAAAATGCACAAGGTCGCCGGCAAACGTGAACAGAGCGCGAGAAAAAAATTACAAACTTGACAAAAGCCGCGTTCTCACAGCCGTCGCCGTAGCAGCGCAGTAAGGGCGCCACCCCGGTCTGATGGGGGTATAAGAACGTGGTTAGTGGGATGGACCACGACCTCACTACGCGGGTATGGAACATGCACACTCTCCGCGTAGCGATGTCGTGATGTCAAAGAAACACGGGGACACCGTAGTGAGCACGGGAAGAACGCCCGTGAATTGCTTTTACTACGTTTACAAAGACCTGTCACTGCCTCTCAGACCAATCAGATCCCGATACGCTCTCACCACGCTTCTAAGTATTTGCTAAGCTCCTTTCACACATAATGAAATCTTCGCTACGCACTTACCACACTCAAAAAATGATATAGAACGTAGCTTAGAGCTTGGTTGGAGCGCGCTGCGCGTAGTAAGCGTGGTGAGACGTGATGGGCTCGTGGCCCGTTTCTTGCCGATTGTGTCAAGCTTAATGACGCTGGTTCCACGCAGCCACTAAGCTCCCCACATCCTCATTCTCATTGCGCTTTCACTAAGCCGTCCCCGCTCTCACTATACTATCGACGCGCTTTCCACCACGACCTCATAGGCGCCGGCCCACGCAGCCTTTAAGCTCTCGACAATCTCATTGCGCTTTCACTACGCTGTCCCTGCGCTCACTATACTATCGACGCGCTTTCCATCACGAACTCCTACGCGGACATGTTGCATGTTCCATACCTGCGTAATGAGGTCGTGGCTTATCTCGTTCTCCACGCTCTCACCATGGCCTCTCAACGCCCTTAACTACGCTCACAGAGATTTCGCAACGTCCATATAGCTCTCAGACACGATCTGTCGTAGAGAAGTCGTGGTTTGTTTGAGAATTTATTTTTAACTCTCCTGGGCTGGAAATGATGGATTTGGCCCAACGTCTCCCTTATATACCAATCAAGGTGAAGTTGTAACAGCGTACCAAGCACGTGGTAGAAGAGTCATACGTGTCAGTTTGACGCGGTCCACTTAAGACATGGCCGCAACGTGGCTGAGCGTGGTGAATACGTGGCTGAGCGTCATGCAGGCGTGGCAAGAGCGTAGCGGAGAGGTATGGAGCGTGATGTACTCGTAGTGGAAATTCTGGGATTTTGCGCGTACAGATATCGTAGTTGCCTTTGCGCTTAAGAGGGTTTTCGGTATTTCACCAATACCTTACTATGCTACATAGTAAGTATGTAGTGAGGTCTTCGTTATGTGTGAAGGGGGGGGGGGGGGGGTTAGGTCATGTTCAATCATCTTCACCTTTCACTCGCAAAATGAAACATGATAATTTTTTTTTGTGGAACGCAGCTTCGTATACTGTGTGGACAACATCCACTGCTCGTTTGGGCTGGGTTCGGTCAACATCCACGGCTCGTTTGGGTCGGGTCAACATACACTGCTCGTTTGTGCACATAGGTAAATTAACCTACACGGTTCAATATTTGAATCAAGCCCTCTTCATTTATCACATTCAAAATGAAACATTTTAATTTGCGTAGTCCCAGCTCAACATACACACCCGATTGGGGTTCAAGTCAACATACACATCTTGTCTTGGTTCAAGTCAACATACACATCTTGTTCGGGTTCAAGTCAACATACACATCTCGTTCGGGTTCAAGTCAACATATACGCATCTCGAATAGTTCCAGATCTGAACGTACGGACTCAGATCAACCCTTATACACAGTTCAATATTTATGAAGTTACATTATATACACTTTGTCTTTGTACATATCAACATATTATCAAACACGTCCAAACAGACCAAAACAAAAGCCTGTTTTCCATGTACGCGTTTTTGCGGTCACATGGATAACGGTCCCATTACATTGGCATTAGACCGACGTTTCCGGCGGGAAAACTCGCACGGAAACGTCGCGAAAACACGTACGTGGAAAACGGGCCTAAATCACAAGCCTGGAAATAAGGCACCTGTCACTGACAATGTCAGGCATAGATTCAGGCTTTGTCAGGCACAAAACCTCTGGTACCGGTCATTTTGTCCGGCAATGATTTGTCTTTTTTAATGATATTATTAATACATGTCAGACACTAAGTTGAAAATGTTAGGTACTATTTCATTAGTGCCTGACATTTTATCAGGTACATCTAAAACCGTTATTTCCAGGCTTGGCCTAAATCTGTTTTGTTTGATGGTAAATAACACTCCATATTTTCCATTTTTGCATATCCATTCGCACCCAGAACTCGTAAAACTCGTGTAGTTCTTCTTCTTCTAAAACACAAACAGATTGTCACAGGACCTAGCTTTTCGTCCGTTCCGTCGAAATAACTTACACAGAAAAGATAACGCACGTTTAGGCGAGGACTGTTTATTGAGACACAAATCGTCCGTGGCACCTCTCAGCCTTGGTAATGGCGGACTTAGTTTCAGACGTATCTGACTTAAAGATTTCACCAGTAGTTCATCAACGTAATGGTTCAAAGCCGCGGACGTCTCCATATAATTACAATCGTACTTCATAGCTATGGTTCTCGCCTCTGGAAGTAGAAAATATGACAAATGAAGGGAAATATAATGAACAGGGTTAAACGTGTAAAAGTGAAACGAAATAAAACTAGAACTGCGATGCAGTGATGGCGGCTTTCACTAAAATGAAATTGGGTTCAACGACATATTGTTTGTACAAACAGGGATCACGATGGAGGTCACCCCATGCAGTAAGTTATGGGGGAGATTTTACGTCCATGCAGCGGCGCTAAGGTCTACTATTATATCCATTCCCAACTGCCAGGGCTTCTTTAACGTGCTGCTAGTGGACGCTACCTTGCGTTTTCGTTCGATCCGAATGACTGGATGCTTTCCTAATAAGGGCCTTTGCCATGGGGTCGGAACTTCCTCGAACGACATTTCGATCCCACCGGGCCTTAATACGCCATTCAAACATTTACCACGATCTCGCTACCGCTAACAAAATCAGCCAGATCGTGGCTGCTGTCGGCTTCATTCTCGTGGCGAGGTCTTCGTCAGCGTGGTCAGATCGCCAGAAAATCCAGAGGTACCTTCCCGTCCAAAAACGGAAGCGAACTCGAGATCTCCTTGTTACCGAGCCATTGTCTTACTTACTGACCCTGTCCTTTTGACCGAGGAATCGAGACGTGGGCCTACGTATCATTAACTAGAAAATAGATATCTGAAAGCATATTATTCAGATTTAACACACTTACCGTTAGCATTTACACGTCTTTGTCGAACAAGATCTATCTTATTAGCAGCCAATAAAATAGCTCTATCTGTTCCCATAGTTACACGAAGATGGCGGATCAGATTAGTTGCGGATTCGAAGGAGCTTTGGTCTATAATGGAAAATACTGCGATGTACGCATCAAACTGAAGATCGTCGTATTCGTCTAACTGTAAATAAAGATAAAATAAATCTATTATAATAAAATATTTGGAATAATCTATGGTTTTACATATAACAAGAGAGAGCGAGAGAGAACGGGGAGTCGCCTAGTCGTTCGGATAGGATGAAAACCGAGATCCCGTACACATTGGCGAGCACCGTAGCGGCGTTGCCTGTGCAAAAGTTCCCGCATTACACATCGTATGTGTCCACGATTAGATCTATTTAATAAGGCCAACTTCAAGTTTGGTCAGTGGTCACGAGATGTAAACAAGGCTAGCGCTAATCCTAACCCTAATCCTGGACTTAGCGCTAACGCTTACCCCAACCCTAACCTACAATCTCGCCAACAATCACGTGCCCTAACCTTATTTAGGTTACATCTTAGCGACCTTGACGAAAATTGAGTTGACCTTAACAAATATATCTAGCCATGCGTTCACCCATCTTCATTATCACTATTTATTGAAGCAGAAAAGTATACATTAATTTTAAACTTTTATATTCATGGGCCCCATAGACTCTTATAACAGGCCCTGGGGCGGCGCACCGGCGGCATCACCTCTTATAAAGCCTGTCTGTAACTATTGTTTTACATATACCCTTAATGTCTACACGGATAAATCAATAGCAATACGAAACCGTGGAAATTTGTGGTTTAAGATTTAATTAAAAGGTTATTAACTGTCAGTATTTTGTTGTATCGTCGGTTTATTTATCGATATGGGTCGCAGTGTTTTCCCGAGGGCGTCGTTTAATTGAAACTTATTGGACAGAATAATTCAATTATCGTCCTTTTCCTTAGATACTTGTGAATTGAAAAAAGAAAAACTGATTTCAAATCGGCTGGTCAAACGTTTCCAAGCTATTTGATTTTCAGTGGAATACTTTTTTTTTTTCATTGTCAAAAAAACCCCAGAGATAAAACAAACACAAAGCTCGTTGGGCTAGCCCCGCCTCCCGGACAACGGGGAAATATCCCGGCAACCAAATATCAGCACCGCCGTGCGCGTCGCCAATCAAAATTTTTTAATATTGTGGTTCAATCCCATGACGTACGGTTCAACAATGTCTCGAAGATATGCGTACGCGTAGTAAATTTATCACCCTACTTGTTGTGTCCCCGTACGTTGCCTTTTCTGTCTGGGAATATGTTTACACAAAATACGAAAAACCGATGCTTAAACGATGTCATTGATAAATTGCAACTCTATTTATTATTCTTTGGTCGTTTTTTTTTCGAGAATTAATTTTAAAACGACAGCATATTACAGAATTCCAATCAAATACTGGACTACTACTGCTCATTGAAACGTTATTAACGGAACGATCTGCCAATGAGATATGACGATAATTCGATTAGAATGAAAATATATGTGCGTACATGCACGTATATCAAATCAAAATGTCTGACACTGACAACTGTTAACTGTAACGGGATTATTAAACATACGTTTATAACCCACATTATACGTGATATATCAGTTAGTAGGTCAATATGTCAATTAATAAATGGCTATTGATTTGGAAGAGATTATACACGCTTCATGGTCAGAGCTAGACTATATAAATACATAATATTGTCTAATATCGAATCTTGAAGCAGCTTATTATATATAATAAGTTGATCATATTTCCATTGAAGTACCAGATTCTTAAAATCCGACCACGAGAACACGCTAGCGTCAACACGGTTCTGTGACTCTTATAGATGTGCTACTGGCCTGTATGTGGGTCTTATACTGTCGAGTTATGTGATTTAATACTTTGTACATTTTGTTCCATATGCAGGTTTCATACTGTTTATTTATGAGTGCTTTAAATTTATGTCCGTCCATATTTGTGTATCCGTCCATTTTTTTGCACCTGTATATTTTGTATATTGTATGTTGTCCTCAAGGGAGGTTCCGATGCAATATTGTGTGTCTTGTGTAATAATTGTCATATCGTTATAATCTTTATGTACACGTTTATATTGTATGCTGTTCTAAATGGATGTTTCGATGCAATAAAATCTTATCTTATCTACTGATGTTTCCTCTCTCTCCCCCTCTCTCAGCTTGGGTCTGTAACAACTATTTAGCTCCAACTATTAATATATTGATTACAAGACAGCTGAAGTCATGTTTATTGAAGATTTTTATCAATTACCCTGATTAATCATTAACACATTGTGATTCCGCCATTCATGCTGTGTAATTCAATTTATAATAAGGAACTAGTTTATAGATTGGTATAATATTCTTTATCAACTGTTATTATTAGTTTTTTTCTAGCGGTTATGCTTGGTTTCAACTATCACAATTTGTGGCACCATTGAAATCGTGGTTTTAATCGTGGAGTAATAATTGCGGTGATCCTATCAGGTATTATCATATATTGCGGTCAGTCGCAGCAATCAAAACTGAAAGTATTTGCACTACTAAATCCTGGACTCAATATGATATAGAAATAGGAACAATCCTATCCTAGCACATTCCATGACAGTGTTGGAACCTAGCATTAATAACAACCCTGGCAACTGTGAAATGAAATGAAATGAAATGGGGTTTAACGTCCTACTCTTCTGCACCTAACCTGGGCTAATTGAAGACGGGCATACGCCATACAGTGTGCTATGAGGGATATTTTGCCCGGGCAGCGGCGCTACGGCCTACTCTTATATCGAATTCCAACTGCCAAGGGATCTTTTACGTGCACGCCAATGTGTACACGGGACCTCGGTTTTTCGTCCCTTCCGAACGACTAGGCAGCTGTCCTTGTCAGGCCCTTTGTTCTGCATCACTGACAAGGGGAAACCACGCCGGAAAATCGAGATGAACTTTCTCTATACAAGAATAGAGAGAGAGCGATCTGTTTAAATCAGAGAGAGAAATGGGGTTTAACGTCCACTCGACACAAACAAGGTCATTTCGGGACTAACATATGGTTTAATTTTATTTCAATAATTCGCTTGCACGTAGGGGTCTTTAGCAGTGGGAGGAAACCGGAGGACCCGGAGAAAACCCACGAGGTTGGACAGGCGACCCTACTCCTTGCCACGTACAACCGGGGATTCGAAACCACGCCAGTCGACTCAATGACAGACTTTATGATACAGCGTGCGCACGCTAACCATTCAGCCATCCAACCCCCCTGAAGTAAACAGTGTGAAAGGTCAAAGTTGTAAAAACAATAAAACTATTCAAAATAAAACTTTCATAAACCCTGACTTTATCCAAGTTATTTGAATGACATTTTCAATATATTCATTTTTCATTATCTATTTTTAGACTATTATAGCTTTTTATCTAAATCTTACCTAATGCATCTTTAATGGCGAATTAAAGATGCATTTATTCATATATAACAGAATTATCTATTTGAAAACAAAATAACTGTTCTTAATAAATTCATGAAGTGAGTCTCGTTTGTCCTTCAAACATTGATATTTTATTACATTATCATGAAGCGAACCTCATTTGTCCTTCAAACCCTGATATTTTATTACTTTATCATGAATAAATCCACATTACATTCTTTACTGTACAATCATAAAATATAACCAGGCCTCGAGTTTACAAAGCATTCTCAGCCTTAAAGATACATTATGGGAGATTAGATAAAGAGCTGGGAGTTAAATAGTTAAAAACTAGATAATGTAAAGGCAATTGGCTAAAAATTTCAGTCAAATTGATCCACTATGAACCGAGAATTAAGCGATTTAAATTTCAGTACGATAAAAAACATAGTCTCGATCATCCATTTAATCATTAAATCGTAATGGAAAGTTATGCAGTAAATCGGCTCATAATCCACTAAAGATGGAGAGTTGATTATGGTCTAGATAGGTTAATTAATGTCTAATTATATATTGAGATAACATTTCAAGCCTAAAGGAAGACCTGCAATAGACAGATTTAGCTCTTGCATAATGTATGTTTAAGTTAAGAATTTACTCAACTTTCAATCACTGTTTATGAGAAATATCTTTGATCCAGATACACAAAACTTTGCACATAGTATCTTATTGATGTATTTGATACATTAAAACAACAAAAGTTTTATAAAGGGCTATATTTTAGTTAAAACGAGGGGAACAATTATTTTTAGTAAATTCGTAACTGAAGTCTGAGAATGCTTTGTGAACTCGGTGCCAGAATGTGTTAAGATATGAAATGAAATGGAGGGGGTTTAACATCCTACCGTTTTCTATTCCTACTGGGTTAATGAGGACGGGCATACGCCATACAGTGTGCTATGAGGGAAATTTTGCCTGAGCAGCGGCACTTTGGTTTACTCATATCGAATTCCAACTGCAAAGGACCTTTTATATGCATGCCAATGTATACACTGGTCCTCGGTTTTTGTCCCATCTGAACGACTAAATAGATGTCCTTGTCAGGCCTTCCATCCTGCACCACTGACAAGGGAAAACCATGCCGGAAAATCCTGACGAACTTTCTCAGCCAATACAGGGATAAAATGACAGCCATAAAAGCTGGATTATGGCCAATGATTGTTTGAAAAATCGCCTTAAGTAATTTAGTTAAATCCATTTTGATATCTCAACTACAAATAAACCAACTGAACTAAAACTAGACAATGAACTATCCAAGTATCCAATAAAACTTAAATCAATCCAATTACCAAATCATAAGCTAGCAAAAGTGATCACAAACTTTTAAAATAATATAAACGTACAAGCTTATTCATAAAATACAAAATAATAATATTACGATCTATAAAACATTACAATAAAATGTTTAGGTACTAATATATTGATGGATGCATCCGAATATTTATTAATGTTAACCAATAAGTACAAAGTAGTCAAATCCTGGCAAGCTCGCCAGATGTCACAAAATTGGACCTTTGGTTCTTTTTGGGGCAGATTGACAGTCATGTACTTATAGTTCACATTAACAAAACACAGTATAATTTAAATATCTTTATATAACTACAATATATGTCAATACAATTATAATATGTATATATATATATATATTTATGTAATTATTCTCTAATA